GTGTGTGTGTGTGTGTGTGTGTGTGTGTGTGTGTGTGTGTGTGTGTGTGTGTGTGTGTGTGTGTCGAGCTTTTGTTAGATATTTGTATTATAACACCGAATTCTTTGCAAAAGTGCTGTAAATGTCTGATTGTTGTTGTCGATTTATCGATATTAGCACCCGAACAGACCAGAGTCAGTCATGGAGTTTGAATCCAGTCATAGAAGTGAAGAAGAGGAGGAGATGTAAAAGGAGAGAAGGAGAACGAGGAAGAGGAGAGGGAGCAGGACCCACAAAAAACAGTGCCAGCTACTTTGGAGGTTGGTTTTTGTTGGCTTTGATTTTTATGAAAAGCTGCTTGTTTAAGTTTTTATAAACTGATTTGTTTTTATTTGTATCATTGCACACGTAAGCGACACACAGACACACACACACACACACACACACACACACACACACACACACACACTGGTTTTGATTACAGAAAAACAGTGTTTTTATACTGCAAATCAAGTAATTGTGTTAAAAATCAAGTATTTATGTTAAAATGATGGTTCCACTTGCAYCCGTGGTGCGATCAGATTAAAGACTCCTCTACAAGCTCTCATGCTGAATTTAAACCTCAGTCTCTCCTGACCTTGAGTGAAAAATGTCTGACTTACCTCATGACATTTTTGACTGAACATAAATCATAAAATGCTTTTCAAAGAATTCAACAGTTACTCTGAACATCACATCTGATCAAGAAGATGTTCAATACTGACATATTCAACCTTTAAATCTGACAGGTTTATAAAGTAGTCATTACAGTCAGGATGTAGCCAACAGGATGCAGGAACAGGTGAAACTATCCTACACCACCCAACCCTACCTCTGAGCTGCCCACCACCACCACCACCCCCAGTCCTGTCCCACCCCCATCCCACGCTTAGGTTTTTTTAAAGTTGGCAGCCCTGCAGCTCAAACCGATCCTTTCCATCTGTTGCGCTCACAAATTATGTTTTTATCATAGTTTAAAAAATAACTGTTCTCACGAGGAAACGCTGCACGTGTGGCACATCACCTGCAAACAGCTGGATCAGCGTCAGAGCCATGTTAAATAAAAGGATAACTCAGCTATTTTTAAAGCAGGGCTGCAGGTCAAAGTTTATAACAAAGACCTCACATGATGTTYGTGCTTGGAGGAAGATGTTTTTTAACAAGGGGCAGATATACGATATTTTTCTTCTTCTTTTTGCACCTTTATTATTCAATAGTTGATTTACTTTGATGTTTTTAATGGTCTTTGTTGGTTATAAGAAATAAATGAATAAATACTCAGTTACTTATACCAGTCTACTTCTGAAGCCTCACACAGCAGCCCCAGGCACAAATGACTCCTCTCTTCTATTCTCATGGAATTCAGGGATTAAAATGACAGTAAATTATTTTTAAAACAGCMCGGCTTTTATGAGAGGGTCCCTGTAATTTTTCACTCTTGTAAGGTGTCCCCAGGCCCAAAATGTTTGAGAACTCCTTCCACTTGACCTTTAGAAATCTCACCAAGTGTTTACATGTGTAAAAGTCTGGTTAATAGCCTGTAAAAAACACACCAGAATGCAGGAAATGGCATCTAATTCATTCAAACATGTCTGGGGGAGGACCCCCAGACCCCCCACCAGAGTGATAGTACACACTGTTTTCTCCTTCATTAAATACCATACAGCCCTGATCACAACTGTTGGCAAAAGTCCAAATATGCAAATTGGACGACAACGTTATTTAGCAACTTTTAGGACGGCCAAAGCAACTTTTGGCAACAGTGTTCAKCAGCTCAAAATCTCACTCCAAGCTCAGGTCAAAACTTGAGAGCCCTGTGGTGTGAATACTAACCAACCTAAAACCTACCACTACAAACAATGAGCCGTTGTGCGTCAGGGAAAGCAGAGCATCTCGTCTCCTTTGKGTTGCAGCACGCATTTGCCAAYGCATCTTAYAACACCATCCTTATTTCCAGGTCTGTGCTCTGTCCTCCTGGCCCCATCAATTCTGTCCAATATGAGCAATGATTGTTGGTTTAAATAATAGTCTGCTTGCAAAACTACTTGTTTGCAAACTGCAAACAACGTCCAGTTTGGTCTGGACCAAACAAKTGGACCAAAGGACTTCCCTAGTGTGAATGCACCCTTAGAGTTGATCCAAAATGGCCACCACAGCTGATCAAACAGAAACATGGCTGTGATGCAATTCAGTAGACTTCATGAAAGGTGGCGAGCGATACACATTTTTTTAAGGAATTAAATAAAAACAATGYAAACAGAGGAAAAGATATTTCAACTGTTTAGTCTCCAAAGGGAACTTTAACCCTTTTTGTCCACCTACTTCAAAAAACATTGTCCTAAATATATAAATCATTGCTGTAAGGATTTGTAAGGATTAATCTCTAACCAAAAGCTGATAAAACTTGATTAATATAAATTGGATTTTACATTTTATCCAGTCTTAACTACCCCTACTGTCCTTGAGTCAAAATTACCTTTGAGGCCTCAGGGTAACTTAAACTCAAGGACAACAGGAAGGTTAAAATTGTTAATATATGCTGAGGGTAAGAAAACCTCTGTAAAAAATGAAATGTTGGATTTACTTAACCATGTTATGTGACCTGGTTCCACTCAACTAAGTTGAGTAAATTCAAAGCAACATGCTCATGTTCTTTGGTTAAAAAACTGGTATATTGCTTTGAATTTACTCAACTCAGTTAAGCGGAACCAGGTCACATAACATGGTTAAGTAAATCCAACATTTCATTTTTTACAGTGTAGGCAACAAAAATAAAAACAAACAAACAAACAAAAACAAAAGCAGAAAAAGTAATTCAGTTTAACCTACTGCTTCCCTTCCTGGCCTGGACAGACCATGATGCCCTGAGCCCTGTGGTCTGTAGCATGGAGCCTGAGCCAGCTGCAGGGCTGCGGAGGAAGAAGTCTGACAGGTGGTTGGTGTGGCGACGGATGCGATTTTGGCCGTGTGGTTTGACGGCTGCACCCTCAGCTGACCGGCAGGAAGACACGGTGGATACAGCTGACCTGAAGAGACAAACACTGAAGCAGTAAGTCTGAGGAACAAATAGTTAAGAATAATTGCTGGTTTGAGGGAATCAATGAGCTCCATACGTGTCTTTCTCCAGCTCTGGTCCCCTTTACGATGCCTCCCTCTGCTCTCTCTTGACTGAAACAATGAAGTGTTGTTCACCCCTGACCAAGACTCTAAGCTCCTTACAGCTTCGGTTCAAAGGTTTTTTTCTTGCAGTTATGCTATTACAGAATCCTGGCATGGCTGAAGAAGCAGCTTTCATGTGTCACACATTTGTGTTTAGAGTATGAGACCGATTTTTTACTAGTTTTTGGGTTGTTTTTATTGATGGGCTACTTTTAATATGCAGTAGCCTATTAGTAAAAAGAAAAACATGGGGATACTTCTAAATTTTAAGCTTCAGTTTTTATGTACATATTAGGACCTGAAAAAACTTTTGGTTCACATAGGATCTCAGATTAACAACAGCACTTTTATGTGTCAATCAGTGCTTCTAACACAGTGTTAACACAGTGCGATGGCAGAAATAATCAGCAATGACCTTAGAGCGTCAGTCCACACCTGATAGTCTGGTAGACTTGGTACGATTGGGGGCCAAAATTGTAAGATTTGTTTACATTTTCAGTGGGTGTGGCTCACATTCAAACTGCACTATGCCAAACAAACTAAACCCTGTGAACAACCTGTTCCTCCCCTCACCTGTRGGGGCGCTGCACCAAGAACCAGTGAAGGAACCGAAACGATAACCTCTGAAGAAGTCACAACTGCCTTCTTCACAAAATGTAGACAAAYATGGATTGACATCAGATTTTAGTGTTTGTTGGATTTCTTTTTTGGTTTTGGCAAACTTATCAAATAAACACTCTTTAACAATGAGCTCAGCATGAGCGGAAGATGAGGCGGAACCATAGAGAAGGTTGTTTTTTAAACAAGAAGACTGAGATGGCACCGYATGAGGTGGCGTTCACTGAGTAGGAGCGCAACCAACTTCACAGCAGTGATGTCCACCTTATACAKAMATTGAGCGAGGTATTTACAAGAYATGAGTAACTTTATTACTGTTATTACTCAGAGTGACCAGTGTTATAGTCCACTTCCTGCTTTTGGAGCGRTCTCCGGTCAGCTTGGTATTCACACATGCAATCGAACYGCACCTGAGTACGCTTCAACCGAASTGAGAACAAGGTTTGGAGGCGGACTAGAGTTCCTTTTTTTCTYGGTCCAAACCAGAGTTTGATTACATGTTCACACCTCCCCAAACAAACCAGACTTTCCAGGCAAATGAACTAGAGTTTGACTAAACTGGTTTGGTGTGAATGTACCCTGAACAATCATTTCATTTGGAGTTCTACTGAGAGAAAGATTATTCATGAATGAAAACACTAAATTTAGCTGCCAGTTGTCACAGAGACAGACGTTTTAGCTAAAAAAAAATTTAATAGTGCTTTAAAGCAGTTTTTTAAGGTGGTTGTTTTTCCCCCCTGAGGAACGCTTTCTATCGAAAATGTAAAAGGACTTTTTAAGAGCTAAGAAATGAAACATACAAACAATGAATATTTAGAATTTCCTGTTTGCATTTTAAACTTTGTGTCTTCTGTGTTTTATTTATTTGCAATACCATTTTTTACCATGTTCAAAGGTGTGCTCTTGTGATCATCAAATTATGTGCTTGTATAAAACACAATAAKTTATGTCATCATATTTTAAAAGTTMAATTCATGCAACCRCATTTGAAGATATTTTAYCCTAGATTCAATGTTTACTGTGAGTTTACATTGTTAAAGCTTTTATAGTAAAATACACCTGTTGACATTTTACAGGAAATTCCACARTTTTTACAGTACTGTGTCAAACATCAGTTTTTGCAGTAAAATTCTGGTAACCATTGCTGCAGGTGTTGTCACAATTACAAAGTAAATTATACATGACTGGTGGGGTTTTACTGCAAAGTCAGCCTTTTTTTGTATAGCATGCATAAAAAAAATCAACCAGTCAGTGATTTAGATCAGTTTTATCCCTTTATAATTTGTCTTTACATGTACCTGAACTAGACTGTTTGTCTGGACTCTGTTAGAGTTCAGATCGTTTGTACTCACTGAGGACCATCCCTGGTCTTCCTTCGCAGCCTGATGAACCGTCTCTTTGTAGAAGCTGAAGAGCAACTCGGGGGTCTCAGAGCCAGAGACTGAAACTCTTTAGAAAACTCTTTCATCTCATTCATCTCCTCCCGGCAGGCTTGCTGTTAGGTATCTCTGCTCAGCTGAAGCTGCTACAGATGTTTGAATCCAGATGGAGGCTGCTCGGCTTGTCCCATCCAGGAGCAGCTTGGGATGTGAGCTGCTCACAGCCGAGCGTCATTCCGGAGATGTTCCCTGCAGGACTCGTGGAACAGAACCATTCAGCTGCTGCTTCGCCCTTTCTGCACTCCGGAACAAGGGGGGCTTGCAGATGTTTCCAGTCCTCAGGCAGCTGTTGGAGTGAGATGGGGCGGGCGGTCGGTCCGAGTTACAGACATAACCTCACAGTGCCTCTGAGGGGCTTGAAACACAGTCTCTTAACAAAGGCTGTCTGTTTCAAACTGATAAAGAAGCTCCAGATGTGCTCAGGCTGCACTGCTGCTCCCTGGTGCCAGGCGCCCCACTGATACACACAAACCCAAACAAAAAGTGTCCTAATTAACCAGTCCTCACATTMTTTGAGTTAAATTGTTTGTTTTCAAATCCACATAAACTCAAGTGAACAAAAACGTTTGGCAATAAGTGAATGAAGTGTTCAGGGATGCATTTCTGTGTCCAAGGCTCCATCTTCTGGCTGCAGGCTGCAAGGCTGTTCATGGTCAACTTACAAGTTCTTATTTATCTTTTGGGTGGGTTCTTCTAAAGCTCAGTGCACTGAAAATTGTGACAAATACAGAAAAATAAACAGCAGGTACACTTCAAAACTGATCCAGGCAAATTATTTGACAACCAGACTTCTTCAAACACATTAGAGCTACCATGTTGTGATTTATATCAGGGRTCTTCAAYGTTTTTCTGTCTGGGAGCCCCAAACTGATGGTGAGACAAAGCCTCTACTATRTATTTTGTGAATACTGACATTTTGTTTTTGACTGTTATCATTAGGAGCTGCAGTGATGTATAAGTGTTGCACAGATTAGCACGCTAATACAACCCCTGACAAAAAATATGGAATCACCAGTCTTGGATGAGCACTCATTCAGACATTTCATTCTGTAAAACAAACTCAGATTTATAACATGATACAATAATAAGGTCATTCCAAAGTRCAACTTGTTGGCTTTCAGGAACACTCAAAGAAATGAAGAGAAAACATTGTGGAAGTCTGAATGTTACTTTTATTGACCAAGCACAGGGAAAAAAATATGGAATCACTCAATTCTGAGGAAAAAAGTATGGAATCACTCAAATTGGATCCAGAAAATAAAGGACACAACCAGTCAATTTCCTTTCTCTAAATGGACACCTGCCTCAGATGAGATCTGCTCATTAGTCTGCAGTTAAAAATACCTGCAATCATGACACCATGGAGGGCTGCTGGACAAAGTGGAGTGGCAAGAACCATGGCTCCAACAAGAGAAATGTCTCTTGAAACAAAAGAGAGGATTGTGAAACTTCTTGAAGAAGGTAACTCTTCACCAGAGACGATTGCTCTAAGACTGCAAGGGAAGTTCAGCTTCCCTTAAAATGTAAAAAAATAAGTGATCAAATATACACTGTTGTGTGTTCATGTCATTGACTAAATATGCGGTATAACGCGCTCAACTTTTGTTCAGAATCAGCTTCTTATCACTGGTAACGACGCAGCTTTCCTCTCCCTCATTCCCACAGCTTTACAGTGCTTTAAACAGTCGGACGATGAGCTTCCACAGACTGAAGCAAAAAAATGCAGCGAAACAAGACGAGTCATTGGATAAATGCTGGGCTTTGTCCCGCCCCCGGACGCTGAGCATCTCTGGGGGTCTATGGAGCAGTGGGCGGGCTCGGTTGCCCAGATTCTGCATGATGATTGGATGATCTGTCTGAGCCTGAATCCCTTTTTGATTGACAGCGAAATGAGCGAATCAGAGATATTTTGGTGTAAACATTCAGTGGGAGCAGTTTTTGGTTTCGTTTCTGTTTTCATGTGTGGCTCCTCCCCCAGTTTACCCAACAGGACACCGATGGGTCTTGGAGAGGAGACAATGTCTCCTTCTTGG